AGGAGTTCATAAGACAAGGTTGGATCAGGATTATCAGGTAAGGTATTGGGATTAGAAGGGTGGACGTATTCGGGCGAGAAGAGGTGCGAGGATCTTTCTTTTTGTATGTTCCCGCGCAGAGATGTCCTGATGAGCCAAGTTCCCGAGGAAGTGGAGAGCGGTGAGAACGTGCCAGCCTAAAACATCGACCGGCGAGTGGTAGCACCCAAGTGGCTGTGTTCGGTGGTTCTAATCGCAGCAGCGAGTGCACGATAGAGATGTCGACAATTACACGAAAGGACGAGCTGGTGTGCAGAATGTCCGGAGCAAGGCATATTGCACGTCCGGGCGCCCGACCGAAGCAGGCCGGCCGAGGCCCAAGCCGTCAACGGCAGACGCGGCGAGCGCCGAAGACCTGCAGCGAACGACGATGTGCCCCGGCGAGGACCCAGGAAAGTCGGAAAGCAGCAGCAGAAGGGGGTGATGGGCGGATACAGGCAGTCAGGTGGACAGATTCGTGCGTGGTTCTCTCTCTGTCGGTCCTCTTCGCTGCAAGTGTGTGCTGACCGTGCGTGCTTTAGGTTGAATGAGCGGGTCGGGCGCAGGAGGCCCCGACGACAAGTGTACCTCTGCTAGTGGTTACTGTGGCAATAAACAAGCTGCGTTCTCGTAACCATGTTATGTTGTGGGACCGCGATGGCCCTGGGAGGGCGAGTGGGAGAAAGATGGGTCGGACGGACGGGCGTTTGGTCGATGAATGGAAGCAGAGGAGGGCCGTCGCGACACTGGACGTGTTTTCTGCTTTCGCTTTCTGTCGAGCCGGGGCGAATGTTTCGCCATGTCTTCTCCCTCGACTTATCTCCCCCCAGCGCATCACATGCTCAACTCCTCTTCCCCGCCATCTCTATCCTCCCTTCTCCTCGTTTCCCTCTTCCGCCTTTCTCCGCCTTGCTCCTCCTCACTCACCCTCTCCGCTCACCCCCACTCGCCCCCAGAGTGACATAGCATGTCGGAAGAACAGCAATACTACCCTCAAGACGAGCCCGACGCGTCCGCCGACCAATACCAGGTCCCTCAAAACGAATCCTACCACCAGGAAGCCGTCCCCGAGCACGACTACCACGACTACGACGTCCAGGTCGGCTACCATCACCCTGACGAACCCGAGGCGGGAGGACAAGGCTTCGAGCAGGGAGAGGAGGAGCAGTATCACGACTCCGCTCTTGGGCCCGACGACCAGGTGCACGACGCGGTGGACGACCTCGGTCACGCAGCCGAAGCCGACCTCGCGTACGAGGAGCAGTACCAGCAGCAGCAGCAGCCACACGCGTCGTCTGCTCCTGAGCCTGACGCGGTCGTGCAGGGCGAGCCGTCTTACGCGCCGGATCCATCTCTATCGCAATCGGGTGGTGAGTATCCTGCGCCGCCGCCTCAGCAAACCCAGCAGGACCCTCCGTCGGTCGATTCGCCCGGTTCGGTCATACCACAAGCTCCTCAGCAGATCGGGCAAACAGCATCTGCGCCTGCACCTGCAGGTGCGCCAGAGAGTGGCATCCCCCAAGTCATCGTCACGTCCGATTCCCAGCAATCCGCGCAGCAGGTCCAGCAAAGCACGCCTCCAGTCCTCGTACAGGACGTTGCCGCCGCTCCTGCTCCTGCCTCGGACCCAGTCCAACCACAAACACAAACACAACCTGCTCCTCAAGTGATCGTCGTACCCACCGCAGCAGCTCCAGCTCCCCAGCCGCAACCACAACCGCAACAAGTCTTCATCCAAAGCCCCCAACCGCTCATCCAACAACAGCCCCCCATGGTATTCCCGCACCAAACCCCAATCCAAACCCAGCCCTTCGCAACGATGCAACCCGGCGTGCCAATGATCGCAGGAGCTTACTCCGCAGCTGGGACGGTACCGATGGTGGTGCAGGCGGATTACACGGAGCAGAACGTGTCGACGGTGTGGAATAACTTGTCTGCTGCGTTGGTGGGGTCCCCTCCTCCGTCTGCGTCGCCGGTGGGAGGAAGAGGCTCGGGAAGTGCGTTTGGAGGTGGTGGCGGAAGGCAGAGAAGTAGGTCTCCGGGACAGGGAATGGGGAGTCCGACGCAGAGGTCGCCCGCGCAGTCCCCTTCGAGGTCTGGGAGTCTTCGTGCTGCAGCTGCGCCTTCTCAGTTCCAAGCTCAACCCCAACCCCAGTCCCAGTACCAATCTCAATCCCAAACCCGTCCAGGCACACGCACCCCACGCACATCCCAAACCCGCATCCCCGCTCCCCTCATTTCCGCCCCCGGCCCCGCTCCCGGGTCGAGCCAGAGGTACTCCCCGCCCCGCCAACCCGCGTCTCCGCCGACGCCCTCGCGCAACAGCGCGTTCTTGCAGGCTACGCCGGTGACGACGCCGATTGCGGAGCATCCTGAGTTCGAGTTGTATGAGTCGCCCCAGCAAGAATACCAGGCGAGGCCGCAGATTCTGAACACCCAGCATGGGAGGAATGATAGTTTACAGACGGGTGAAGGGAGTGGAGGGGAGCACCCGCCGACGCCGCCTCCTGCGCATCTGAAGCCCCGGCCGCCGAGTATCGTCTTTGCTGGGACGAGTGCCGCTGGGTACGCCGCGAACGCGCATACGTTGCCGATGAGGTACTCCCCAGACCGTCCTACCTCAAACCAAGCGCAAGGGCAAGTGGTGTACGTCGAACAACCCCAACCACCACACATCCTCCGACGCGCCAACACCGCCAGCCCTCCCTCCACTTCTGGCTCGGGCTCCGCATCCGCACGCCCGTCGTACGAACGCAGAGTACAGAGTTTCGACGACAGCGGGCCCGTGGTGGTGCACACCCACTCCCCATCGCATTCCCAGCACTTGTCCACGTCCCCCTCGAGACGGAGCTCCCTACACGCGAGCGTGCCCGTAGGCGGGATCGTAGACGGGCGAGTCGTCGAAGCCCAAGCGCGTGCGTCTCTCGCTGGAACAGGTGCAGGGGCAGGGGCGGACGTGGATTTCGGGCCGGATGGGCGGGTGCACATGCACTTGACTTCTGGCGGGGTCGGGGTCGGTGCTGGTATGGGGGGAAGGCAGGAGAACGCGGAGATGGTGCGCAGGGAGGCGAGCGTGGTGAGGCGGGAGGCGGACGTGATGCGGCACGAGGCGTCGGATATGGCGCGTCGGGAGGTGGACATGGCGAGGCGCGAAGTGGACGTCGCTCGCGGGGAGGTGAACGCTGTTTACCGCCAGGGCACGGACGTTTATCGGCAGACACAGGATACGGTCCGCCAGGGCGTGGAAGGGTTCAGGACGAACAGCGCGCGGGCGGTGTCGTTCGTGGAGGAGCAGCGGGGCGCGCTGGTGCAGGGGTTGCAGCAGGACGTGACGAGGGCGGTGAACGTGCAGAATTTGGCGAGTGGGGCGGGGAGTCTGGTGGCCGGGTGGGTCACTGGGGGTGGGTTGCATGGTGGCAATGGCCATAATGGGAATGGCGGTGGAGGTGGTATGGGGAATGGAGGGAATGGTGGAGGTGGAGGTGGGGGAGGAGGAGGAGGGAACCCGATGACGGTGGAAGGACATTTGTCGAGGGCGTCTGGGTTGGATACGTTCATCCCGTATGCGGGGTCGTTGACCAAGGAGGTATGTTCCTTCGTTTGTTTGTATCCGGTATCCGTGAATGGTGGCTCAAAGAGCTCTTTTTCGGTTTCATAGGTTGGTGGGGAGAAGACCGTCGAGAAACGACTCGAACCTACACTCAACAACGCGAAAGACGCGTTGAGTAAAGCTCGCTTACAAGGTTGGTCTCTCCCTTCCTCAATCCTACCCACCACCATCTTCGACGTGTTCTAATGCGTCTTTCCCCCTCCAGCCAAAATCAACGGCTGGTCCCTCAACGTCGCCATCGGCGCGCAAGTCCTGCTCGGCGCCCTAACCACCGGGATCGCCGCCGCCACGACCGGCAAAACCACCTCCGTCGTAACCTCCATCCTCGGGGGGATCTCCACCCTCGCCGCGTCCTACCTCGCCAAAGCGCGCGGGTCCGGCGAACCCGAGAACTCGTCCCACCTCGCCAAGGAGCTGGAGAACTACGTCCGCGACTGCGAGGCGTTCCTACTCGACCACGGGCATAAGCGCGGAGAGGAGTCGGAGAGGATGAAGGAGTTCGTGGAGGAGTATCGGAGGCGGTTCGAGATTCTGATGGGGTCGAATGGGGATCAGGTGGTGGATAACGTGGAGGAGAAGAGGATTTTGGATGGGATGAGGAGTGGGGGGAGTAGTTTCGTTGGTGGGTCTGGGCATGCCAGTGGGATGGGGAGAGGCAGAGGGAGCTTTGATGACGGGCCGATGCCGCCTTATGGGCCTCATGGGAATGGCAATGGCGGTGGGATGGGGACGGCGGGGAGGCGAGGTGGGCATTCGCAGAATGGGTCGGCGGGGTATGGGAATGGGCATGCGCCGAGGGGGAGTTGGGTGTGATTGTTTTTGTGGTCGGTCGAGGACCCCCGTCGTCCTCTGGCATATGCGCTATGCACTCCAAGCATATGTTGTATGTGCGTTTTTGTTGTCTACACATGAGCCGCTGTCTTTTCTTTTACTCTTTCACTCTCCTCGCTCTCCGTTCTCCATAGTCTCCTCAGCTTCTCTCATCTCCTCATCGCACATCCTCGGAACGTTCTCTCGATTTTGCTCTCTTTGCATCCTGCATTTCACTCCGCATACACGGTCTTCCTTTGGTATTATATTATTACCTTCGCTTCGCTCTCGTCTTTCGCTCTGCTTTCGTCGTCTGTTTTGGAATTGTTGTGGAATTGTTCTCTCTATAGCTAGCTTCATGGGTGTACACCTCATTGCCTCGCCATACTGGCATACCATACCTTACTGTACCGCAATACCATCATAATTTTCCTCTTCATCCATCCATCCTTGCTCTACTTTTTCTCCGGAACTTCGTGGGACTTATCGCCACCAATATTCGCGGAAGGACGCACATGCAAAGTGTGAAGGCACAAAAATAAGGAAACATAAGATCCTTCTACTCGAGTACGGGGAATCGAACCCCGAGCTACCGCGTCCGTCATGGCCGCATTAAATGAAAGGCGGTAATGTTAGCCGTTACACCATACTCGACTGTTGAAGCGCGGACGGCGTGGTGTGTATGATCAGGGCATGGTCCCGGCTCACCTTCTACATAGCTTGTCCAGAGAACTTGAGCATTTCAGTGATTCGTCTCCGTAGCAGACTTCGGTACGGAGGACAATCGTTCCAGCTAGTGGTAGCCCTTGCCACTAGGACGCAAGGTAGATGACCTATTTGCCCAGACACCGTTTTTTTCTCTTGTTCAGGCGACTACCACTGTGGCGAGTCGATCGGCATTATACGGCTTGACGCGGGGATTCCGGGAATAATGTCACGTACGGGTGGAGGGCGTAGTGCAGACCACGGCATGAGCAACAATAGAAATGTATGATATATGAAAGTACGGTAGGAACCGCTGTACATAGATTGTTAAACATATGACCCACATCAGACAAGTGACAACCAACTGCTGTACAGCCTATATATGACGATAGCTATCGCTACTCACGGCGAAAGATGAAAGCACTACGGAAATAGATCACGATCATACTGTACAAGTTGTTCTTCAACCACACCAGTTGGCTGGAAGCAAAAGCCGAAGTCGCTTACACGCCTTCTGTGGCGCGAGCAGTGGTGATCTTCGCCACCTGGAGCACTACAAACAAGATACGTGAGCGCTGAGCATGCGTGGGTAGTGAGACGGAAGTGAAACGTACGTGTGAGGGGCGATCCGCGATTCGCCTCGTCCATCGTCTCCATGAACTCGTTGAGCACGACACCCATGTACGTGTGAGAGTTGCACAGCGGGCCGGCTTGCCACAGAATATGCTTGTTCTTGGCCTTGCTGAGATCATTGACCATCATCTGGGCCGCAGCAGTAAGACAGACCTACGAACGGAGATAACATGGTTAGATAAAAGTGAAAAGACCAGCAGAGCAAATACACCGCGAAGTCGATCGGCTTCATGCGGGAATAAACGGCAATCGACGGTGAAGCGGCTATGAAGGCGTGGCAGCCATGCCGAAGAGACAAATTGCGAAACGCACCAAAAGGTAGGGGTCCGCGTACAACTGAACACCGCGAAGGATATCTGATCGTTTGGGCAGGATGACTTTGAACGCCGCGCCGATGGCTTTGCTGGCGCTGAGACACTTGATCGTCGATGTCAAGTTGGTGTCTGCGAAGACGGTGTGCAGCTGCATCGCGGCGAGGCGAGCGATCATGTGGGTAATGACGAGGTGCCGGATGAGTTGGGTGTCCTCCAGCGTCGAAAGGCTGTCGAGTAGAGGAAGATGGAGGATAAACTTCTCAATGAGGATGTCGTGCTCGTTGAAGAAATCTGCATGAGCAGAAGAATCTGTAGCGAAAAGCGCAACGTCAATAAGGGGCACCGTCAAACAAGTGTAAGATCACGTACCGATCGATGCAGCCGATGACAACCACCCGGCCTTGTCTAGCAAAGCCACCGATTGTGCACGCAAGCACAGCGGCGACAGCACCGCCGGCTGATGCTCTGGGATGAAAGATTGATGGAGGAACGACATGATAGTGTGTCCTCCTCGATATGTCTCCGGGACGTTTCCCTAGATGCAGAGGACTTCGATCAGCACAGTTCCTCGAATGCAGACCTACGATAGGACTGACCTTTTGAAATTCTTCCATAGCCAGCGGCCACGGCGTCTCAATGGTGCTGATTGGTGAGCCATCGTCTGCAATGAACGACTGTCGGTCGAGAGCGAGGGCCCACATCTTGTCGAGAGTGTACACAGTCCAGAACGCATAGATGCGTTCGCCTTCATCCACGAGATCCTCCGAGGGTCCGGCGTGGTCCATCTTCACAAGATACAACCTGGACTCAGCGCCCGTATTGAGCTGCCCTCGCATCTTGCCCAACCGGTGCGTAAGGACGAGCGAAACGCAGATGGAGATATGCTTGCGTGCTTCATTGAAGCGGGCGGAGTACAGGTAGTAGTTCGCCAGCAAGATTTCGGCTTGAATGACGTGGATAGGGTTGATGGCGCCCGACGTCTGAGCGGCAGCGGCGAGTTCGGCGCAATGTGTAGCATACGTCTCTTCTACGACGGGCCATCGGTCGTCCTGAGCGAAATGGCTGCCCCAGAGGAATACAGCGCTCAACAAAAAGTCCGCGGGTGCGTTATGTGTACTCGAGGAGAACTTGCGCGTGCAGTAGTTGATGAAGCGTTGCTTGTTCAAGAAGAACCCAAAGTCGTTAGAATGGGCCATGAACGCCTCGATCCTATACATCTCTACGGTCACGAAACGTATGCAGATGATGTCAAGTCATAGGCTTACAGTCCTTGGGCCACTGCAAGCGGCGGCTCCGTAACGTTGAACGAGAACTGGCTGTTGGGCCTGGTATACACTTGAGAAGGCAACGACATGGAAGTGGTGAGCTAGGAGTATGAGACACATGAGAGGGGCATGAGCTTTATTTACCTGGACTCCCCACATCCCCTTCGGGAGACAGGTCCATGGCATCATCGAAATGCCCGGTTAGAGAACGGCTTTCACGGTTGCCCTGCAGCAGAGACAAGGACGTTGACGGATCGGCATCCGGATGTTCAAGGACTCTGAGCCGTGCCTGCAGCACTGCAATGTTCTCCTCGAGGATTTGCGTCCTGCTCCGCTGATCACCATCTGTGAATTCGCAATCCCGTTCACGATTGAACCGAACACATTGTCCGCAAACAGGGCGAACGCAGTCGCATTTCTAAGAGATGGGAGATTTTAGCTGGGAGAGGGTGACTAATCAAGCGACAGGGCTCACCATCTTCCTCCTGCGACACGCAAGACATGCCTTTCCCTTCGGAGCCCTGCTCGAGAAACTACCCTCCGGCTTGGGATCAGATGTCGACGCAGATGCAGATGGGTTGCTCATGGTTGTGCTGGTGGACGGGAGGAAGGGGCAAAAATTGGAGGGGCAGACAGGGGTGCGTCGTCGATGGTCGTAGAACGAGGCAAAAGACTGACCGTCTCAGTCATCAGGATCTTATACGACCTTGCCGCCCCTCTCTTGACGCCAACGTGTCCTCCTCGGCCGCGGTTCATTGGTTGTCCTTGGGCAGGTGCTGTGGTAAAAAGGAGGGAAACTTTTGGAAGCGAATCACAATTTTGGACTCCAAAAGGGTAAAAAGCTGCTGCCACGTACCCGGATTGAACGAGTGACCTTCGCATTGGCATGTGATACAAGTGCGACGCGCTACCACTACGCCAACGCGGCCGTTCATTTGGTATGTGCGTATAGATTGATATTCGCATTCAATCAGCTCGCGGTCATACTTCTGATGAATTTTCAAACGCTCGCCATACATACCGCTCCTCTCTACCAGCACAAGTAACAGACACGAAATCGTGCGCAATCATGATGTGGGTCTCTTCGCTTTGCCTGCACAGACTGCAGCTGATCGTATAGCTCACAGATGAATCAATGCCCGTAGGCGTTGAGATCGGCGCTAGACTGGTCTTAGATGCCTCTAGATTACACGGGACCACCACCGACTGCGACCTGCGCTCCGCCCTCTGGTCTCTTCTACGCTGTCGTGCTCTGGCTGGATCTAATCCGGTCGCGAATGGCCTGGTGCTTCCGAATGTCTTGTATGGTCCAGGAGTCGCGCCATCCTTCCTTTCCTACATAAGTGCTAGCTGCCCACGGAGCGATGTAGACCAACCACCACCTCTCAATTACCTCCTGCTTTAGAAAACAACCACTACTCGAAGCAATCACCACTCTCCAATCTCAACATGTCCTTCGCTCGTGCTTCGTCTTCTGTCATGCGCTCTACTTTGCGTAGCGGTCGCACACAATGGAGCCCTCGTCATGTACGCTTTGCATCTGGCCATGCCACCCACGACGTATGTCCACAAGCTGTCTCCTACTCACGCCCATGGCTGATTCAGCCGCTGCACAGCCTCTACCGTTCAGCTTCTCTAACAAGAAGACGTTCAAGTACAAATACCTCGCTTTCCTCGGGACAGGGTTCGCGATCCCATTCATTGCCGTTGGTTACCAATTGTGAGTGATGTCTCCAGTCGTGTTGCTTGGTCGAATTGATCATAAGACAAGCTTGGAACATCCAGACAAAAATCTAGCGGTTCAGCTGCGTAACAGCATCGTATCTTATTGCGAATCAACTTTGAGGCATCGGACGAGGCTATAATGGTGGATTCGGGCCTGGAGGGGGGTTACACTAGATTATTTTGCTTGAAGGCATGCCTGGAGAATGAAGGATCTATCTATTCCGCATTACTTGTACCTATATCATCGTCGTTGTACATTCTTCTAAACGTTTCCGCTTCATAGAGTATGCCCGAAGTGCCAACATGGCCCATAGTATTGATCAAGGTTCGGCAATCCCCGATTGCCACAGCCGGTGGTCTGTTTCCCAACGAGGCTTGCTCTGTCACACTACCACCACTTCAACGAGCCTCGGGATTCGAATCTCCCTCGGAATTCTTTCAATGGTGACATACGGAGACACATGGACTGCAGAAGGTCTCCAGATTCGTGAGTGATAAGATTGCATTCGAGAGCACACGATGCGATACTGACATCTGTCCAATCTAAGCCTCAAAGGAAGTTGCCTGAATCCGCAGGGTATTGCAGCTGAATCGTGGCCACATCACGCGCAGAACTCCTCTACCTCGTGGCACCTTACCTGGTGTATAGAAAAACGCGCAAACTCGCTCATGTAGGATACGAATCAGCCTCGGAGATGTCGCAGGGTAGCTTGGCAGTGTCATGAGTGCGTGGCGGCGCTCCACATAGGTGGGCAGCCCGCGATAATCTCCCGTAGCAAAGCTTTCAGGTCACTCTCCCGCAATACAGTCGTTCAAGGCGATACCATGCTCAGAGCCAAGTGCGAACGCCCGGTTGCGTTTACGGCCCATCTTTATGATCTTTCGACCAGAGGCGTCCCCTCAAGGGCGGGCTACGCACGCGTTACCATGGAGAGGACATTTCACGCTATGCGAGCTAGAGCTGTAGTCTTCTACGGAATGGAAAGGACCCCATAAGTCTCCACTCGGCCTCGAGATATGGCGCTATCAACGAGGGCGGCTGCGAGTGGCTCTCAGTCGGTGCGTTCTTCCGGTCCATTCCCCACACCAACATTTTCATTTCTAAGCCTCTCTCAGCAGTAACTGCGGCTGGTGCATGATTCGAGCTCACGATTTACCGCGCCAGCGCTTTACAGAAGCCATGAGGCATGAGCGTATCTACAGAGTTCAACGAGGTCATCTGAAGACCGAGCGAGTTTGCGGGCTCAGATGACTGACCAATTTCATCTTCTTGCGCTCGGTAGCTTCCTTGTACGCCTTATGTCTATCAAGCTTCGTCCGCTCGAGCGAGCTCTTTCTCTCACCCGTCGATTTCCCCGAAGCTAGCTCTGAACATCGGCACATGTTCTTGCAAATCGTGCTGCATTGTGTTAAACGAGAAGCACCCGGCCGGCGCATCCATAGGCCACAATACTGTGTCTGTCCCGAACCTATGGTTTTCTATCCATCACGCGTTCTTTGAAGAAGCACACAAACGCGTTCGCCTCTTTTCTTGCTCTGTGCGGCATTCAAACTTGTTCCATGCGGTTCGAGTTCATCTACTGGTCTTCGTATGTTCTCATCTTTGTCGTCCACCACCTGCTGACAATGTTCTCATGTTTGATTCCTCATGGTGTCTATAGCAGCGGGTTGAACTCATGATCCTGAGCCCAGCAAAAACTTCGGTAAGACGAATTTGCAGGAAGGCAAAAACGTGCGCATCAACCAAGGCCACGATGCATATAAAGGAGGCCGGTTGTCGGCGTGCAAACTGTCGACAAGACAGAACACTCTTCACTTCACTGTTTCGCGATGAAGACCTTCACAGCACTTCTTCCTGCGCTCCTCGCCACCCATTCCCTCGCAAAAACATACCAACAGACCGACAGTCACCAGGGAACCGGGTTCCTCTCGTCCTTCAGTCACCAAGCCATATCCGATCCCACCCATGGACGCGTGTAAGTGGCGTTGATCCTTACCTCCTCCACTGTTCCACTCACTACCTATAACTGCAGTAACTATGTCGATCAAAGCACTGCTCTCGCTCAAAACTTGACCTACGCTTCGGGTGACCACTTCATCATCCGGGCAGACCACACGACGACGCTGAGCGCAAGTGGTCCCGGTCGGAACTCGGTCCGACTGCAAAGCAACAAGCAGTATACCAACCACGTCGCAGTGTCAGTGGATGTCCTTCTCTACTCAGTTTTGCTAGACAGGCTGACCGATGACCTCATACACAGATTCAATATGCGTCACATGCCGCAAGGATGTGGGTGAGTATATATGTGCGCACTATATCAGGGCCACGCTTCTCTGATACACTGAATAGTACCTGGCCGGCTGTCTGGGAAGTCGGTGCCGATTGGCCCAATCAAGGTACTACCTGGTTCTCGAATATGTTTACTTCGCTTGACCACTCATGCTGTGCAATCCTTGCAGGAGAGATCGACATCCTGGAAGGCGTCAACGATGTGAGCCCGAATCAGGCGACGCTGCATACGAACTCCGGTACGTGCTGTGATTTTACTATGTTCTCCCAGTCATTCAATTCAGTGAATAGGATGTTCTATGCCCTCGTCGAGATCACAGACTGGGTAAGTCATCGGGTATCCCTCAGTGTGATTTTCAACATCTCACAGGTTCCACCGGATGATCAGGAGTACAGCCGGGACTAACTGCGATTCAGCGGCGACGAACAATGCAGGTTGCGGCGTCAAGGCCACAGCATCCAATAGTTACGGTCCGGCCTTCAACAGTGCTGGAGGCGGATGGTCCGTGTCACGACACTGTCTCGTGCATTTCCACAGGCTGACGCTTCGTCTTACAGGTATGCGGTAGAACGTACCTCGTCTTTCATCAAAGTATGGTTCTGGTCCAAGAATGGAGGCAATGTCCCGAGCGATGTTTCAAGTGGCGCCACGAGCATCAACACCGACAACTGGGGAACCCCGTTCGCCGACTTCCCCAACACTGACTGCAACATTGATCAACATTTCGGACCGCAGAACATCATTATCAACCTCACCTTCTGTACGTGTTTGACCACAATCGATACTTACAAGGCTTGTTGTTGATACATGACCAAACCAGGTGGTGACTGGGCAGGTGCCGTATACAGCTCTCAAGGATGTCCCGGAAGCTGCGTCGGTGAGTTACAGCCGCTTCTGATCTGCACTGTGAACGAATACCGTATTCATTCCGACATCTTAGATTATGTGAATAACAATCCGTCGGCCTTCAACAATGCGTACTTCGATTTCCAGTGGCTCAAAATTTACGGATGAAATCCGGAAGCTAGAAGCTCTGCACGAAGATTTCAATCGTTTCTGGATCAATTGCAGACATGAGACTCTCTGGCAGAGTTGTACTATATTCGGGGTGTATCAAGTAACGCGGCGTACTGTGTAGTCTGTAGCAATGGGAAGGTATAGGGTATAGATGTTGTCTTCTAGGAATTGAAACGACGATTCTGTTCAAGACTGTCTGCCAAATGAATATGTACGCTTGGCGCGTGAATGAGCGAAGCCACCTCTCGAAAATCTCGGGAGTAGCTCACCTGTCTAGTTGAGAGAGCTCATGGTGTTCGAGGTCTGCAGGGATATCCTGTGCACGATTGCATAGGCCCCAGTCCAGGTGCTCTCCCAGATTTCCCAAAGATATGCTGGACACCCTGGCAAAGGCTATTGTAGACAACACGTCTGAGTCAGGGATTTCACTCAAGCTGTTGCGGGATATGCACGCTTGTCGGAGATTGAGGAGGAAACGGGATATCAGTATTCCAGCTAGGCTAGGACATATGGAACATTTGCGAATAATAAGAGCTTGAGGACATATCGAGTGATTTGGTACGTACACGTCGATAAATTGAGGAAGTTCTTGGAACGACTAAAGACCACATGAGTAGTGATGATGATGAGAATCGTGTGGGACTCACGACCGTGAAAGAGAGGGTAAGGTGGAGAACGTTGAATATCAGCAATGTTCTGCCAAGGTGAATGATATTAGCAGTGCCGAGATATCTGTCAGTGTCAGTTCACGAGGAGCGAGCGTACGCAAAGTATAGTGTCCCTGTCATAAGATGAATTCAGCGCAAAGCCTTAGGGCTTGATCATCGAGGCAGAACGTCCATACCATCCTTGCATAATAATTTCGAGAGACCTGCTCGATAACGGGCGCGAGCCG